CATATTCTGTGACACTACCCAATCAGCCCTTCATGTGCGAGAGGGGGAATTTTTGGAAGCAAAGAGTCTTTTACTGCCATGTCTTGGAGTTGCTTGGGGACAAAGCAGCGAGGTTGTAAGCTACTGTCTAGAAAAATTAGGGGATATTCGCCACTGGAGGAGTAGTGATCTGCAATCATCAACCTGGACAATAATTTTCTTGGCCCATAGTCTCAAACTGAAAGAGAAGCTAGGCATCTACAAGGCTTTCCAATTTTTAGGAGATATGTACCAGGCAGAAGGTGATCAACAGACAGCAACCAGTCTTTTTACTATTGCCCTGGATGGATTTACCCAGATGGATGTTCACCGCAGTCGAGCAGAGTGCATGCTCCAACTGGGAGATATTTTGAACACCAATGGTGATATGACGAAAGCAGCCGATTTTTGGAGAACAGCCCGACCACTATTTGAACGATCATCTCAGGAAAGCCAAATTGCACTGATTGATGAAAGACTTGCCGGGATCACCCTTGATCACATAGAAGGACACAAACAGAGCTTAGTTTATCTCTCAGGTCAACATGCATCTAGGATAAGACCTGCCAACACCCCTGTGCCAGAGATTGAAGAGACGAGGAAGTTGGTGTTGAAACCGGATACAGGGTTTGTTTTGGTTCCAGCCTGAGTCATTCATATGAGTAGGATATGCACTTCCAGTGTGCTGGTAGTGTAGTCCCTTTTGGAATATGTAATTTATTGGACTAGCGAAAGAATTGATGTGAGCTCATGCTCGCTTGATGCAGGTGGCTTTACTTGTCTCCCGTTTTTAACGACACTCAATATTGGCTGTGTTAAATCCTCTTTTAAGCACCATCACTATTGGAGTCACTGATTTACTGACTGTTTAGTGCCTATGCTTCAGCTTTATGTCAGGACTTTAGGTGTTGGTCAAATCAGCTGTTGATTCAAGCCTCATGAGGACAGTTTTTCTCTTTTTCATCTGTCAGGACTATGTACAGTGTGCTTGAGAAGTACAGGTCAATAAAACAGGAGCAGAATGTGGTTTGGAGTCGGATTGAGTTCCGGATAATTTTCTAGGGAGGCAGTTGCCAACAGGGAAAGTCAGAGATTATTTGTATAACCTTCATCAGGTGCTGATCCAGCTGAGTGAAGTTGACTTGGAACAGTGTGTTAAGAAGGGCCATAATATTACATATTCAGAGCTCTCTGAAGTAGGCCTCTCCACCAGGGGCAAAGACCAAGGCACCTGAAAAGTAAGTGCATTGAACACACTTACTCGGCACCCCATAACACATCTTTGGGTAGGCAAAGGGGGGCTTTGTGGGCTTGCAGGGGCCTGACAAAGCCCCCCTTTGTCAGCCGTGTTACCAGGTGCCGAGGAAGTGCATTTAACATACTTACCTCTCAAGTGCGTGGACTTTTGCCCCCGGTGTCAGAACCTGAGGAACCTAATTCAATTTCTCTGATCATTCTCAAACCGATGTTAATTCAATGGCAGGGAAATGACAGTTGCTGCAATTTATACCCACACTTCTTCAACGGTGAGGCCTCTCTTTCAACTCTATTCAGCAAGTCAGTGTTGGGTCTAGCCAAGGAAGAGCTTCAATCAGAGGTTGAAGTTAGATGGGCACACTAGTCACCATGATTACATCATCGCCTGAAGAAGGTCCCCACTCAGAAAAAAATAAGTTCCATGCTGTGCAATGGCCTTGCCCCAAGTTTGATTCGGATCCAAGCGGTGGTTAAGGGGAGTGTTGTTCCCAGGAAATGGGTGGAACAAGCAGAAGGATGCCCATTCAATTTGGTGTGAGGGCTGTACATGCGCTGCATGTGCCCTCATGTCACAGCACCCCAAATCGGGATAACACTAGAACCCAATTTTTGATTCATCTGAAATACAGAACTCACCATCCCACAACATATCCCACCCTACGGGCATGTCCACCCTTTGCACTGGGCACTCACTCACTCACCTCTTTCCCTTACAGCTTAAGACCTAAGGTTGTAGCTCCTCATCCTCCACTTTAACAGAACAGAACTTCCTTCACAGACACCAGTCTTGTAGCAGTGGGAACCTGTTCAAGCTCATTTGGCAAATCACCCAAGACTGCAGGGATGTACCAAGCAACATCCCTCACCATACATCGACTCTTGTAGACATCAAAGTCACCTACGGACGTTCACCAATATGTGAGGTAGGGAAATGGGTGGGATCATGAAGAGAACAGGAGGGAAGGGAAGGCTTGGTAGTGGGCTGGTCCCATGTCTGTGTTGTATGGTAGTTTTCCTTTGCAGCAATACATGTGGAAGAATATTTGTGCTATGAGCCGATGCTGCACTCAAATTTTCCCCTACACTCCGATTGACACAGGAAATAGTAGGATAATGTGGAGTGAAGCATGGTGAGGGAGGCTTGGTAGCAGGGTGGTCTCGCATCTGCTGTCTATCTATGTCCTTCAGACACAATACAAGCAGAGAATGCCTGTTCGATTCAGGCCCAGGGCATAGGTGACCGTCAGATATGTTTCGTTTACAGTTTATAAGCATAGACAAATGTGGTGTATAATGAGGTAAAAGACAGGGGAGGCAAGGCTTGGTAGCGGGATGGCCCCGCATCTGCTGATTATGTACGAAGGCGATAGGATACAAGCAGAGGATGCCTGTTCAATTCAAGCCATATGCAGCCGAGAAAGTTCTTTTTGTTTACGCTTCGGTTAATACAAGGAAATTGGTGGGATAATGAGTGGAAAAGCAGGGGAGGTAAGGTGTAGCAGGGTGGCCCTGCATCTGTTATGTGTTGGCAGGTGTTGAGTGATTACAAGCAGAAGAGTGCCCGTTTGATTTGGGGCCAAGCCATGGGATAGGACATGGCTCTAAGCATTTTTTGTCTACGCTGAGGTTGACCGAGAAAGGTGGGATAATGCAGAGAAAAGGAGGGAGAGGAGGGCTTGGTAGCGGGTGACCTGCATCTGCTCATCATGTGGTGTTGCACTTGAATAACAGCAGAAGATGCCTGTATTAGCAGCAGCAGCAAAGATTTTTTTGTCCACAATCTGCTTTGATCAGGGAGGGAAATGGGTGGGATAATGAGAGGGTGCACAGTCAAGGAAAGGCTTGGTAGCGGGTAGCCCATATCTGTGTCTATTAGATGGTTGCGTACAAGCAGAAGAATGCCTGTTCAATTCAGGTCCAAGCCATAGGCAATGGAGCAAGTTTTCTTTTGTTGATACTCTTGCCCTGGAAATGGATAGAGTGAGGAGAAGAACAGGATGAGGAAGGCTTGGTAGCGAGTGGCCCGCATCTGCTCACCATGTGGTGTTGCGCTCCAATAACAGCAGAGGATGCCCGTTCAATTTGGGCCCAAGCCATACAGCAGTGGCAAAGCTTTTTTGTCTACACTCTACTTTGATACTTAAGGGAGGAAAATGGGTCGGATGATGGTGAGGACAGGAAGGAAGTGAAGGCTTGGTTGCAGGGTGGCCTGCATCTTTTATGCATTGGCTGGCCTTCGGATAACTATTAATCATCTGATTGAAGCAGAGGATGTCTGTGTGACTCGGGTCCAAGCCACGAGGAGTGGAAGCACTTATTGTCTTGCCATGAAATGGGTGGTGTAATGAGGAAAGTAGAATGAGGAAGGCTTGGTAGCAGGATGGCCCCGCATCTGCTGTTTATGGGCGAAGTCGACACGATACAAGCAGAGAATGCCCGTTCGATTCGGGTCCAAGCCATGCAGCAGCGGAAGAGATTTTTTTGTCTACACTCTACTTTGATAAGGTAGGGAAATGGGTGGGATCATAAGGAGGATAGGAAGGAAGGGAAAGCTTGGTAGCGGGGTGGCCCTGTGTCTGCTCTCATTTCTAGAGAGATCCTGCAAAAATATTAAGCAGAGCATGCCCGTTCAATTCGGGTCTGAGCCATGACCTGGATCTAGGTTTTGTCTATTGCTCTAGCTGATACAAGAAAAGTGGTGGGATACCAAGGAGCAAACTAGGATAGAGAAGGCTTGATAGCAGGGTGGCCCCGCATCTGCCGTATATGCGGCAGGAATTTACTAAATTGTAAAGCAGAAGGATGCCTGTTCGAGGAAGGCTTGGTAGTTGGGTGGCCCCGCATCTGCTGTCTATGGGCGGTGTTGCTAGACAATGCAAGCAGAGGATGCCCGTTCAATTCGGGTTCAAGCCATACAGCAGCGGCAAAGCTTTTTTTGTCTACACTCTACTTTGATGAGGTAGAGAAATGGGTGCAATACTGAAGAGGAAAACAGGGTATGGAAGGCTTGGTAGCGGGGTGGCCCCGCATCTGTTATGTGTTGGCAGGTGTTGAGTGATTACAAGCAGAGGATGCCCGTTCAATTCGGGGCCAAGCCATAAGGGAGTGGAATCAGTTTTCTCTTTGTTGACACTCTTGGGCTGAAATGGGTGGGATAATGAAGAGATGAATAGGGTAGGGAAGGCTTGGTAGCGGGGGGATCCCGCATCTGCTTTCTATTAGACATCCTTGTAGAAATGAGCAGAAGGAAACCCGTGCGATTCGGGTCTGAGCCCTGGGCCGGGTGACCAACATTTTCCCTCCAAACTCTAGCCCACCAACTCTAGTGGCCACCAGGAAAAAGGGTAGTATAATGAGCTGGAACACAGACTGGGGAAGGCTTGGTAGCGGGGGGCCGCATCTGCATTTATTGTACGAGTATGAGACATGCAAGCAGAGGATACCTGTTCGATTCGGGTCCAAGCCATGAGCCGATGGTTCCCCAATTTTTCCCCTACACTCTGATTGATACAGGAAGTGGTAGGATAATGTGGAATGAAGCAGGGTAAAGAAGGCTTGGTAGCGGGTGGCCGCATCTGCTCACCATGTATTTGTCGTCGTGTTCAAATAACAGCAGAGGATGCCCGTTTGATTCGGGTCCAAGCCATGTCGCGCAGCCTTTCTTTTTGTTGACACTCTAGGGCTGAAAATGGGTGGGATAATGAAGAGATAAATAGGGTAGGGAAGGCTTGGTAGCGGGGTGATCCCGCATCTGCTTTCTATTAGACATCCTTGTAGAAATGAGCAGAAGGAAACCCGTGCGATTCGGGTCTGAGCCATGGGCCGGGTGACCAACATTTTCCCTCCAAACTCCAGTGCCACCAACTCTAGTGGACACCGGGAAAAAAGGGTACTATAATAAGCTAGAACACAGGCTAGGGAAGGCTTGTTAGCGGGGGGGCCGCATCTGCATTTATCATAGGAGTATGAAAACATGCGCAGAGGATGCCCGTTCGATTCGGGTCCAAGCCATAGATTTGTGTTTGTCGGCCATTTTTTTTACCCTCTATAATCATAGACCGGAAATGGGTGGTGTAATGAGGAGGAAATCGGGGTAGGGAGGACTTGGTAGCAGGGTGGCCCTGCATCTGCTGTTCATATTCCTTGTCGAGCAAAATACAAGCAGAGGATACCCGTTCGATTCTGGGCCGAGCCATAGAGCAGAGGTAATGATTTTTCTTTTTTTGTCTACACTCTACTTTGATAAGGTAGGGAAATGGGTAGGATCATGAAGAGAACGGGAAGGAAGGGAAGGCTTGGTAGCGGGGTGGCCCCGCATCTGCTGGCCATGGCGCGAGCGTAGTAGAAAATGCAAGCAGAAGATGCCCGTTCGATTCGGGTCCAAGCCATGGGCAGTGGAGTAGGTGGTCTTTTTGTTGAAACTCTTGGGCTGAAAATGGGTGGAATAATGAAGAGATAAATAGAGTAGGGAAGGCTTGGTAGCGGGGTGGCCCGCGTCTGCTGTCTATGAGGGATTCCAAGAAAATGCAAGCAGAGCATGTCCGTTCGATTCGGGTCCAAGCCATGCAACAGCGGAAGAGATTTTTTTGTCCACTCTACTTTAATAAGGTAGAGAAATGGGTGCAATAATGAAGAGGAAAATAGGGTAGGGAAGGCTTGGTAGCGGGGTGGCCCCGCGTCTGCTCTCATTTGTAGAGCTCCTGCAAAAATATTAAGCAGAGCATGCCACCCGTTCGATTCGGGTCCAAGCCATGTCGAGCAACCTTTCTTTTTGTTGACACTCTAGGGCTGAAAATGGGTGGGATAATGAAGAGATAAATAGGGTAGGGAAGGCTTGGTAGCGGGGTGGCCTTACATCTGCTCTCCATTTGGAGGCATGCAACATCAAAGCAGAGGATGCCCGTTCGATTCGGGTCCAAGCCATGCAAGCTCCATATGAAAATTCTTTTTTCGTCTATACTCTAGTTGACCGGAAATGGGTGGTGTAATGAGGAGTCAAAGAGGGGAGGAAAGGCTCGGTAGCGGGGTGGTCCCGCATCTGCTGTTTATTGGGAAGTTGATAGCATACCAGCAGAGGATGCCCGTTCGATTCGGGTCCAAGCCATGGGGGAGCGGAGATAGCATTTTTTTGTCTACACTCCAGTGGGTGCAAGGACATTGGTGATGTATTTAATGCAGAATGAAGCACGGCGAGGAAGGCACGGTAGCGGGGTGGTCCCGCATCTGCTGTTTATTGGGAGTCGATAGGATACCAGCAGAGGATGCCCGTTCGATTCGGTTCCAAGCCATAGGGCAGCGGAACATGCCTTCTTTTTGTTGACACTCTTGGGCTGAAAATGGGTGGTGTAATGAAGAGATAAATAGGATGAGGAAGGCTTGGTAGCGGGGTGGCCCTGCATCCGCTGTTCATATTCCTTGTTGAACAAAATACAAGCAGAGGATACCCGTTTAAATTCGATTCGGGGCCGAGCCATCGAACGGAGATAACGATTTTTCTTTTTCTGTCTGCTCTCCACTTCGATAAGGGAGGCAATTGGGTCGGATGATAAGGAGGACAGGAAAGAAGTGAAGGCTTGGTAGTGGGGTGGCCCCGCATCTGCTGTCCATAGTTGGGTGTTGAGCCATTACAAGCAGAAGGATGCCCGTTCGAATCGGGTCCAAGCCATGAATGAGCGCAACTTTCTTTTTTTTCCTTCTCGTCTCCAAATTTGGACCCCAGGTAATTACATGTCCCGAGCGCATTAATATTCTTGTGTGTCTGCACTAGTACTAGTTCGCCGGCGCGCGTTGTATGCGCCTGTGTACGTGTCCCCGTGTGCCACGTGTCCGCTTCCCACCGCCGTCTCTACTCCGTTTCCAGCTTCCGGAATCCCACCACTAAACGTACCCGCACCCGTGTCCGCTCCCCGCTCTCTTCCCACCACTCCTGCTTGCGGAGTTCGTATCTATACCTGTCTCATTGACCACCGCATCGACCACGTATCACCCACCTTATCTCAGCACTTAGCCTTAGCCGCAGCAAAACCACCCGCAAGTCGAAATCTTCATGGGCTCCTCGCAAAGCACGTTCGCCACGCCCGAGGTCGCGCTGGCGGTCGCGCTCGTCGTCGGCGGCGGCGCCGCAATCGGGTACTCTGTCCTCACGTCCTCCACGTCCACTTCATCCACGGCCACGTCGACATCCGCGGCGAAGAAGAAGAGCAAGCGCAAGAGCACCGCGCCCGCTGCCGAGCCCGCGCCCGTCGAGTCCGCGCCGGTATCTGCGGCGGCCCCCGACTCGGAGGCGGACACCAAGTCCCAATCTAAACCGAAATCAAAGTCGAAATCGAAATCAAAAGCAAAAGCCCCAGGCCCAGGCGACGTCGCGCCGCCTGTAACGCTCTCCTCCTCGGGCGGGCTCCCAGGCGCGTTCGACGCGGCGGTGGATGCGGACGAGCCCACGCCGGCGCCGACGGTGAAGGCGCACTCGAAGAAGCAGAAGAAGAAGGCTGCGCCCGCGCCCTCTGCGTCCGCCTCAGCACCCGCACCCGCCACGTCTGCGTCCGTGCCGGCACCGGCGGTGGAGGCGACGCCCACCCCGGCCGCGCCGAAGAGCAAGAAATCTAAACCGAAGAAGAAGGGCGCGGCCGCTGCGCCTGCGGCGGCGGGCGAGAGCACCGACGACGGCTGGACGCGCGTCGGGGATACCTCCACCTCCGCCTCCGCCAGCGCCTCTGTTACGACGGCGAGCCTCGCAGAGGAGGATGCAGAGGAGGAGGACGAGGAGGAGGCGGAGGAGATCCCGCTGCCGGGCATGCGCGCGGCGGCCCCGCGGCGCCCGCTCGCGGAGCGCCTGCTGCCGAAGCCGAGGAAGACGGGCGTGGATGAGTGAGTGGATGTTTCCTTCTTTCCTCCTTTCTCCCTCCCATTCCTTCCTCCCTGTTTATACATCGTTCTCCCCTCCCTTCTCCCTCATCCCTCCTCCTTTCCTTCCTTTCTCCCGTTCTCCCCGTTTTCTCCCTCCTCCCATACCCCCGTTCCCATATCTTGCCTCCCCCTCCCATTCTTGTCCTCCGATTATATTAAACCAATACTGACCCGCCCTCGCACAGCATGCTCCCCGCAAACACGCCCGACTACCCCGCGCTCGCGCGCGTCATGCGCGTCGTCCCCGCCGCCGGCGACGTCACCCCTTCCACCTCCGCCTCCGCCTCTAAATCCGCCAACGCACCAGCATCGACCGACGAAGACGCCCCGCGCGCCCTCACCGACGAGGACGAAGACGCGCGCGCGGCGCTCGAGGCGCTCGCCGCCGCCGACGCCGCCGATGCCGCTGACCTTGAGGCGTGGGGCGCCAGCACCGGGATGGGCGGAGGGGCGGGAGAGGCGGAAGACGACGGGGAGTGGGGCTTCGTGCCTGTTAAGCGGCGGGGGGGTGAGTGCTTGCTTCTTTTTTCCTTCATTGGCTCTTAACTAACTAACCCCTCCTCTCCCTCCCCCCAGCCTCCTCCACCACCGCCTCTTCAAAACCTGCAACACAAAGCAGCAGCAGCACCGCCCAATCCGCCGCAACCAAAAAAGCGCGCCAAAACGCCGCCAAGCGCGATGCACTGAAAGCGGCGAAGGGCGAGGAGGAGGCGGCGAGGCTCGCGGCGCTGGCGGCGCATCGGCGGGAGGCGGAGGGGGCGCGGATGCGCGAGCAGGCGGCGGCGGCGCGGGGGAAGGAGGGGAAGGTGAGCGGGGGGATGAGCGCGAGTGTGGATGCGGGGGGGAGGTTGGTGTGGGATTAGGGATTGAGGATTGGGCGCCGCCTGTGGAGCGGTCCGCGGAGAGGGAAAGACGGAAACGACGGAGATGACGGAGAGAAGCAGGAGAAGGGAGGAGCAGAAAAACAAAGGCGACGCCGGATAGACAGACATAAGGACTCAATCGATACTTATCCCACCACACCACACCCACACCCATAGCAGACATATATACACCATTCCACTCATTGCCTGCTAGTTAATGCACAACGGACTCCTTTTCTTACTTTTTTACCGTTGGGCAGCGAGTCGTCTTAGGCGCGAGTCGTCTTTGGCTGCGAGTCATTTCTCAAATATCTGAGATCTGAGAAAGGCAAGTCCGATTCTAGATCGGGGCGCGGATTCGAATTCGATTTTGGAATTGCACCATAAGTAGACGATGGTAGCTGAATGTACAGGTGTACAGGTGATTTCTTCATTTCGTTCGTTATGTACACGCCAGTAGGGTAGGGTCGTAATAGAGGGAGGAGGGAGGAGGGGGTGGAGTAGGGGAGCGGAGCGGTAGGGCGAGTGCACAACGATGAATGAATGATTGGGATGGGATGGGTATGCAATATACGGGGGTATGCTACGCATAGGTCGTCGGTCGGGCGGTAGACTCGGGATGCGGTCGGTGGGTATGTAGGTGGGAGATGAGGATAAGGATACGGCAGGAGGGAGGGAGGGAGGGTAGTACATCGACATCGGCCGCCCCAAGTCGCAAGTCGAGTCGGCGAGCTAGCGCCCCCGACCCCCGGCGAGGGGTGGGTTTACGACGCCTGAGGTCCGGGAGGTAGGATGGGGATGCGGAGAACTGAGATGCGAAATATGGGATGGGAGACATGCGATGCGATGTGATGTAATGCGATAGGTGCAGAGGGAGATGTGATGCAAGGGCGAGGAGAATATATGCAGAGAGATGGGGGTGGGATGCGGAGATGACGATGTAGCGAGGCGACGCAGGTACGCGCTTCGATGAGGGTAGAGTGATGCGGACGAATGAGAGGTGCGAGGTTCGGCCGAATGGAAAGAGGCGAGCTAGGTATGCTATCAACAGGGGATCGGGCGATTCGAAGGCGTGTGTGCGTTAGAGTCGAAGATGCGAAATACGATAGGTGTCTGGGATTCCAGCGAGGGAGCCCGGGGGTGAGGGTGCGCCTTTAGCAATTGGATCGGAGACGCGATTAAGAAACGAGGGGTGTGACGATACGCGATACGCGATTGTGGAATGTGGGATGTGGGATGAGGCGAAAATGGCGTCGACGTGTCGCTTCGCCCCTCAGCGCACGCTGATCCCACGCCGGCGCCACTGACCCACCGCCGCGCCCCAAAGTATCGGTAGCTCGCGCGCGGGGTCACCGAGGACGATGTCGAAGGAACTGGGCCCGACGGCGGAGGCGGGACGAGGACAAGGAAAAGAAGAGGGTGAAGAGGGGACGGGGACGGGGACGGGGACGGGGACGGGGGAAAGGGTGGGTCGAAGCCGGAGCGCGCGCTGGCTGCTGCTGCTCCGCCTCCGCGCGGGACGGATGCGCCGACATCGCGGGACCTCCGCGTGCACGCCGGGCCTGCGCGTGCGGTGCGGATACGGGTACAGGTGGTACCGCCGGTGGTGCTCCTCAGCGCTGCTGCCCGTGGCACCGCCGCCGCCGCGCCCCCTCGCAGACAGACTCCCAGCGCGTCCCGCCTCGCCGTCGGAAGCGCGGACACGAATGAAGTCATAGCCAGGGCGCCAGACGCCTGCGCGGGGCGGTTTTTGGCGTCGCGTGGTCCTGGCTCGAATCGGCGGCGGCGGGTGCGTGTGGCGCCTGCGTATGCCCGTCGGCTACGGACTTACCCCGCATCTCACGCGGCTGGACGTCGCGGGTCGGGCGAGAAAAGACAAGCGGGGCCGGAGAGGATGGGAGGGGGATACGAGATGACGGGCGCGCGCGTGTGGGCGACGGTAAGGCGTGCGGATCGGAGTCGTTGTGCTTGACATGCGCGCGAGGACGCCGGGGTGGATCACCAGGTCCGTGTTGCGGATTGCCGTTGGTACGCCGCTGTGCACTCTCGGTTCGGTACTGTAGTGGTGCATGGACAGCGACGGGGAGAACGAAGTGCTGGATACGCTGGGGCTCGCGCTCGGGGTGGTCGCTGAGGTGCGCGAAGGACGCGCCGAGCCTGCTTAAAGTGTCCGCAGTGAATGCGTAGGAGAACGAGCCGGAGATGGACGACGTAGGTGCTGAGAACGCCGACGCGGAGAGCGAGACGAGGACGCGAACGAGGAAAATCGACTCTGCACCAGCGCCTACGTTCGTGCCCCGCCCGCTACCGCCCTCCTCCCCTCTCTACCCGCATTCGCCGTCGCTCCTCCCCATCCCAAGAACGACGACGAGAACGTTCACACCGACGCAGAGAACGCGCCGGCGCCGTGCTGCCTGCGGATACGGCTGCGGGGCGAGAAGTTCGTCCATCGGGGGATCGACTACGCCGGCGTTGTGAGAGCGTGGGGGTGGTCTGCAGGCCGAGTAGATGCACCAAGTAATCGAGTCCAGGGCTAGCGCTTGCGTCGACTGCGCTGAGGAGTGGGAAGGGCCGGAGTGTACCGATGCTGATGCGCACCGCTGCACCGGAGATGGCGCGCCTCGGGCTTCACGAAGGTGTTGTGCGAGGAGCCCACGGAGATTTCAACTTGCGGGTGGTTTTGGTGCGGCTAAGGCTAAGTGGTGAGACATGGTGGGTGATACGTGGGGGTCGATGCGGTGGTCGATGAGAGGGTAATAAGGACTGGGAGAGAGCGGGTGCGGGTATGGGTAGTGGTGGGATTCCGGAAGCTAGTAGAGGCGATACGTCACGTGGCACACGGGGTCACGTACACAGGCGCATACAACGCGCTAAGTAGGTTCGGATCAAGCCGCCTTCCTAAATCACATGATATGCACGTGCTTCGCAGGGCATTTTGAGAAGGCCGGCTTGCCGGACCGGAGAGTGGCTTGTTCCGAACCTAACAACGCGCGCCGGCGAACTAGTTCGGACTCCTAGCACTGATGGCAGATGCGCTCTGGACATGTAAATGAACTGTGGTCCAAAATTGGAGACGAGAAGGGGAAGAAAAGAAACTTGTGCTCGCCAATGGCTTGGACCCGAATCGAACGGGCATGCTCTGCTTATATCCTGGCGACTTCGTACATAAACCACAAATGCGGGGCCACCCCGCTACCAAGCCTTCCTCATCCTATTTATCTCTTCATTATCCCACCCATTTTCAGCCCAAGAGTGTCAACAAAAAGAAAACTTGTATGACAGCGCCCCATGGCTTGGACCCGAATCGAACGGGCATCCTCTGCTTGTATCCTGTCGGCTTCACCCATAAACAGCAGATGCGGGACCACCCCGCTACCAAGCCTTCCCTACCATAGTTTGCTCCTCATTACACCACCCATTTCCCTCCCTTATCAAAGTAGAGTGTAGACAAAAAATGCTTAGAGCCATGCTCCATGGCTTGGACCCGAATCGAACGGACATGCTCTGCTTGTAATTTTTCCGACTCCCTACTTAACTGATACAGATGCAGGGCCACCCCGCTACCAAGCCTTCCCTACCCTGATTTCCTCCTCGGTATTCCACCACCTTTCTCGTATAAGTTAGAGCAATACACAAAACAATTTTGATCCAGGTCATGGCTTGGACCCGAATCGAACGGGTATCCTTCTGCTTCAACTCAAGGGCCGAATTTATAGACAGTAGACGCGGGGCGACCCTGCTACCAAGCCTTGCCTGGCCTGTGTTCCACCTCATTATACCACCCATTTCTTGGTATTAACTAGAGTGGAGAAAAAAATGAGTGGTTCCTGGGAATGGCTTGGACCCGAATTGAACGGGCTTCCTTCTGCTTTAATAGTTCGTGATAACCACACAAATGGAGCAGATGCGGGCCACCCGCTACCAAGCCTTCCTCATCCTCTTCTGCACCTCATTATCGAAGCCATTTTGGGGAAGCAGTATAGACACAAAAATCACTCTTCACCGGCTCACCACTTGGACCCGAATCGAACAGGTATCCTTCTGCCGTGATTTCTCATCATTCTACATACATACTCACGGTAAGCAGATGCGGGGCCATCCCGCTACCAAGCCTTCCTTACCCTGCCTTCCTCTTAATTATCCCACCTATTTTTCTTGTGAGTTTAGGCAAAAGAATCTAGCACCCGGCTTATGGCTTGGACCCGAATCGAACGGGCATCCTCTGCTTGCAGTTTGAATCACGCATTGATAGACAGCAGATGCGGGACCACCCCGCTACCAAGCCTTCCCTGCCCTGATTTCCTCCTCGGTATCCCTCCGCCTTTCTCGTATAAGCTAGAGCAATAGACAAAATCATTTCTATCCAGGTCATGGCTTGGACCCGAATGGAACGGGTATCCTTCTGCTTCGACCCAAGGGCCGAATTTATAGACAGTAGACACAGGGCGACCCTGCTACCAAGCCTTGCCTGACCTGTGTTCCACCTCAGTATACCACCCATTTTTGGTATTAATAATCTTTGCGAGACCGTTTGGCGCATAGCAGATGCGGGGTCACCCCACTACCAGACCTTCCTCATCCTCTTCTGCACCTCATTATCCCAGCTATTTTGGGCAAGCAGTATAGACACAAAATGTCTCTTTACAGATTCACGACTTGGACCCGAATCGAACAGGTATCCTTCTGCTGTGATTTCTCCTTGCTCTACATATTCACGGTAAGCAGATGCGGGGCCACCCCGCTACCAAGCCTTTCTCCTCTTTCCTTCTTCCTCGGGATCCCACCACTTTTCTCATATCAGCTAGAGCAATACATAGACAAAAAGGTCTTCATACAAGCCATGGCTTGGACCCAAATCGAACGGGCATTCTCTACTTGTACGCTGTAAGCAATATTTCCATACACAACAGATGCGGGACCATCCCGCTGCCAAGCCTCCCTCATGCTGCTGTCAACTGATCATACTACCCATTTTTCGCATCAAATAGAGTAAAGACAAAAGGGTTCAGGGAGCGTCGATCATGGCTTGGACCGAATCGAACACGTATCCTCTGCTTGTATGGACTAAATATCCCCCGTTATAGACAGCAGATGCGGGAACACCCCGCTACCAAGCCTTCCCTACCTTGCTTTACTCCCCATTCTACCACTGAATTCCTTGTATCAACTAAGTAGAGGGTCAAAAAAAAAAGCAGATTAAGCCGCCTGGGCCATGGCTTGGACCCAAATCGAACGGGCATCCTCTGCTTGCATTGAAAAACCGCCACCTATGGAGAGCAGATGCGGGGCCACCCCGCTACCAAGCCTTCTCTACCCTCCTTTTCCCCACATTATCCCATCCATTTTCAGAGACAGAATAGACAAAAAAATGCTGATCACAACTCCATGGCTGGGACCCGAATCGAACGGGCATCCTCCTGCTGTCATCCTAGGCTCGAATCCAGCCTGTCGTATCAAAAGTGATACTGTCAATAGACAGGCTGGTCGATCTGAATTTAAATTTCCAATGCAAATAAGTTGCCAAAAAAGGCAATTCGGCACGGTCGAGCCGAGTGAAGCCAAATATTCACCAGCAACATCAAAACATGTAAATTGTGGTCAGCGCACTCAAAAGTCGGCTGTTTGCCTTCGAGTAAGGGGGGATAAAATTATGAGCTGCACCCGAGGCAGCCTGTGCCTCCAACGCAAATATTTGAAGCAGAACTGGGCTCGCTATTCAATAGCCTTTTTTGGTAACTTATTTGCATTGAAATTTCAAACTCAGATCGACTGGTCTGTCTATCAAGTTTACTTTCATAGACAGACAGTCACTGGTCTACTGTTATCCCACTGCTCCAGAGACTATAGGGCCATCCCGCGACCAAGCCTTCCTCATCCTATTTTGCACATCATTATACTACCCATTTCTGGCATCAAGTAGAGTGTAAACAAAAAATGCATCCTTTGTAGTCATATATTTCAGTGTATATTTAAACTCAAATCTTAGCATTTTGTACTGGTTGTTTGGTGTGTGTGTGTGTGTTGGTTGTATAGTTTGGTGTTTCATAGCATTATCCTAGTCAGTCAGTGCTCCGAGCTGTACTCAGGTGCACCATTCTACCACGCCTCTGGGACTTTCCATCTCCAAGCAGGTGTGTTCAAATATTTGAATGATAGCAAAGAAAAACGAGAGGATCACAAAAATGGCCCAGGCTCGGGTGAACACCCCCTGCTGAGGGCATCCTTTATACCACCAGTGGATGTAGGTGTGCATCATGCACCTCTGAGCCCTCCTTTCTCCGATTTTAGCTCAGTTCCTGTGTTAGCATAATTGATGCTAGCATACATAAGAAACTGGACACACACAAGATGGCCCAGGCTCGAGTCGAAGGAGCTCCTCCTACCCTGAATTTCTGCAATTGGGGCAGGTACACAGCCCTGTAGGACCTGTTTAACACGAAGACCTTCAAATACTTATAATAGTTGGATTGAGTCGTCGAGCAGCTAGGCGAACGAACATCATAGAGCTGCACCATCTGAATGGTGTCTCAACCACGCCAGAGACTCATGGTGCAGTAGAATATTGTACCGTAGTGAGCCCCTGTACCCCTTGAGAACATCTGCTAGGGGCACGGGAGTCTCTGGCAGCAAAATATTGTTAGTTGTAATAAGGACTGGCGCTTACCTTAAATTGTATTAGCTTGTGTGTGTTTAGGACCGTTAAGAGGATCTGAGTGATGACCGTAAGCGTGGTACGAAAGAAAGTAGTAGAAGTGATTGTATTCGGGCTACGGCCCGGACTCGTGTATTTGCATATGTCTACAAGCGTGCGCTAAGATAAGATATGTACAGGCGCACACCAAGATAAGATCAAGAGATTATAGAAAAAATATTACAGCCGCCCGTTGCACGGACAGCATGTTGCATAGGTGTACATCTGGGCCATTACAAGCCCGAGCCCCTGGGCTTTCATACCTATGGACCGAATTTCATTGCATAAATGTTTCTGAACAATGAATTGACATCACGGAAAATGCATTTGGATTGGGATAACCCAGGCTCATTTGAACAAGCACGAGCTCACATCAATTCTCTCACCGGTCCAATAAATTACACATTTCAAAAGAGACTATGAATACACTGAGAGAAGCATCAACCATTCAAGCTGGACTCAAAACAATATCTGTATCCTGTTTCAACCTCAACTCCCCCATCTCCTCAATCTCTCTGGCACAAGAGTGTCATGAAGTCTTATTGTGGGTGCATGTAGACCTGAGATTATCCAAGCTTTGTTCACATCCTTCTCTGTGATCATTGATCAAGGGTGATCCGGGCAAGTCTTTCATCAATCAGTGCAATCTGGCTTGCCTGGGATGATCTTTCAAATAACGGTCGGGCTATTTTCCAAAAATTTGCTGCTTTCATCATATCACCATCGGTGTTCAAAATATCTCCCAGTTGGAGCATGCACTCTGCTCGGCTGCGGTGGACATCCATCTGGGTAAATCCATCCAGGGCAATAGTAAAAAGGCTGGTTGCTGTCTGTTTATCACCTTCTGCCTGGTGCATATCTCCTAAAAATTGGAAAGCCTTGTAGATGCCTAGCTTCTCCTTTAGTTTGAGACTATGGGCCAAGAAAATTGTTGTCCAAGTCGATGATTGCAGATCACTACTCCCCCAGTGGCGGATATCCCCCAATTTCTCTAGACAGTAGCTTACAACCTCGCTGCTTTGTCCCCAAGCAACTCCAAGGCATTGCAGTAAAAGAGTCTTTGCAACCAAAAATTCACCCTCTCGCACATGAAGGGCTGCTTGGGTAGTGTCACAGAATATGAGTGCCATTGAGTTGCGGGTAGTGTTGAAGAACTTCCGGGACATAGTGATATTACTTTGTATGTCAACCTTGGATGCACCAATTTCCACATCAATTTGTGCAATAGTGAGTGAGGCCGTTGCATGTTGATATTCATTACTCTCAATTGAGACATTTTGAAGCATCTGGGTGTTAATCTTACGACCCTCTGCATATTCTGATTTCAGGCGGTGAATCTCTCCCAGAGAATTCATGACATCATAATCTAGCTGGTTGCCAGACATGCCACACAGATGAAGGAGCTCTCTTGCTCTGTTGGCAAGAGAAATGCTCCGGCTATAGTTGCCAGTAAATTGCCAGCAAAGGCATTCAATTCTGAGTGCCTCAGCTTCTCCCAAGAGATTTCCTGAAATTTTGGCCAACCTCTGTGACTCATATGCATGCACTCTGGCCCTGGAATAATCACCGGCCTGCCACGTGATTTCAGCCAATGTACACAACAATTCTGACTGTTTTCTGCTGTTTCCAGTTGAAAGTGATAATGCTAGTCCAGTTTCAAAGAACGACATAGCCCTAGGAATATCATTGCCGTAAAGACGATAATATGTCCCTATGGTGTTATAGAATGTACCTATCAGAAGGTCTGTGAGAAATTATACCAGATTAAACATCCTACTCACATTCAAGATCTGGATCATCAAAGCAGGTAAAATGCTTGATGGCTTGCTGTATAAGTCCATCCGGATTGCTAATAGGATGAAATCTTCGTCGTGTGAAGAGTTGCTTGATAAAATGAACTTCCAGTCTGTGATCAATCGGGCGAGGGAGAAGATTAGGAATCTGGTATATTAGGTGGCTTGGTGCATTGTAAATCCCTTGACTCGCACTATCAAAACAGAATGTGGAGTATATTGTGCTCGTTATATCGGGATTATCCGGGTTTAAACCATGCAGAAGGACACTTTGAATGTTTGAAAAATTTGATGTTATCCGAGCTGTTAGTGCAGCACCAGCAACAGTTCCAACATATGACTCATGAATCTCGAGAAGTCTGTGAAAATGCTGCTGGATAGAAAGGACAATGCGAGCGCCTGGGGGGTGAATTTTCTGCATATATTCTCTGATGGGTGCCAATAACTTGAGTCGCTTCTGGATATCTGTGTATGCTAGAGAGGTGGCAAGTAAAGCGGCTTTGCAAGTAAGAATATTGTCAACTGGCAGTTTGCTTTGAAGGAGATCTATATCTGAAAGTCCATCTGGAAGTATAGAGAGAAGGCTCAATAGTTCACGAGTATGGGGCACTGAGGTCAGCCGAGGACTTTTGAGGGACAGTGAAATTGATAGATCTAGATTTGATCCTTTGTCGTGGCCATCAGAGAGTAGGGAGGTCTTTTCTGTCTCCCAGCGATGAAAAACACTGGGAAAACCTTCATAGTCTACAAGATGGGCTATGAGGTTGATTGCCAAAGGCATGTTGTCTGCCAGAAGCAGAATATTATCAATGTCCTTAGCTGCATGACCCTCATCAGCAATATCAACGAAGGTTTTATGGGCAGCATCCTGGGATAAAGGCTTCAAGGGTCCCAAAAATGGGCGGGTCCATTGGACATTGGCTGGTCTTTCTGCCCCACGCATTGTGATCTAGAATCAATTTAATTTGAGGAATGACATTAATTGGTCTCTGCACTTACAATCAATGCTAGATCATCCACATCTGCAAGCAGGGACAATAATTTTTCAGCCTCTCCACGAGACTCCATTGGCTCCCAAATTGTCTCGAGATTGTCCAAGACTAGGAGAAATGGCAAGTTGTTAGAGAAGGTGTGGACAACTTGCTGAGTCGAATTTTTCTCTGGGTTCAGTCCCAGATGTGCCCCAATAAGAGCAGCAAGCTGAACACTAGTTGATGTTGTGTCGCACGCAACAAAAATGCGACGCTGTAAGTATCATGTTGTGATC